AAAGGAGCTGATGAAATTACAGAAACCGAAGGCAATTAACCCCTGAAAAAAAAAACACATTCAAAATGAGAAAAAAACATAGATAAACATTCAAAGCCACGTTTGTAATATTGTGTTTTTTGTTTTTCTTACGACTCATTTCGTCGACTCAACTGTAACTAATATTTACACACGAGGATTAACAATGTGGTTCCACTGGGCTTCGAACCCAGGACCTTTCGGCGTGTAAGGCAGGTTTAAACCAACACAGTGTGTGTAGATAAATGTGTGGGTCGCGTCCCATCAGGAGTTTGGCTCCACCCACCTGGTTGCCGTCCACACTGTAGCCGTGCTTCAGGGCGAAGATCTTGGCCAGAGAGATGCCCATGGAGAATCCCACGATGGCTACAGCGAAGGCGTCCGTGACCAGACTGGGCAACAGAGAGAAGTCTGGGACAGCGGGGGGGTGAAGCCTGGAGGAGCGGGAAAACAGTTTCATTACATCCAGCCCAGTGGGCCGTGACCACGTGAGGACGACGTGAGGACGGCGTGAGGACGGCGTGGAGAGACAAACCGTGTGACACAGCGCTGGTCAGAAACACTTTCACGAACTGACATTTTCATATTGGGGGAAAAAAAAAACCAATGATTTTCTAGGACGCACCCTGTTGGTATGTCCCCAACCACGTCCACGGCGTGGTCCTGAGACAGAGACATGCCGTAGGAGACGCCCGTGGACACGATGACGACGATGATCTCCCCGGGGATGGGGATGGGCAGCTTCTTCTTGAAGCGCTCGTTGGTGTATTTGATGGCGTACAGGAAGACCATGGAGACCAGGCCGAGGCTGAGGGTGGTGACGTTGGTGCTGGTGATGTCCATCAGGACCGCTTTGACGCTCTGGACAGGACAGTGGGACCAGGGGACGGTCAGGAGACCAGAACAGAGAGAGAGAGAGAGAGACACGGTCGTATCAGCCACTCACGTAGACTGCAGAGAAGGGTCCACTGAAGCGCTGCGTCTTCACCCCCAGCAGGTACTTCAGCTGGGAGACGCACACGTGCACGGCCGCCGCCGTGGTGAAGCCTCGCACCAGAGGCTCGGTGAGGTAGATGGCCACGAACCCGAACCTGAGGAGACCAAACATGATCTAAAAGGTAGAGAACGGAGATTACTGAAGCAGGGACGTGGAGGCACGGACGCCAGGACACACACACACACACACACACACACACACACACACACACACAGACTGATGTTGACACGTGTGAAGTCAGACTGACCTGGATGATTCCCACCAGGGTCGTTAGCGCCACGGCTATTTGGACTCTCTTCATGTCCCGGTCCCTCGTGTCCAGGAGCGCCGTCACGTTGGTTCCGTTCCCATGAGCGCTGGGAAACATGGAGTCTGGCGCCTCCCGCACGACCACGCCCCCAATCATCAGACTGATAACGGCGAAGGTTCCTGTGGAAACATTGACACGGACACACACACACACACACACACAGAAACATTCAAAATGTCTGTAGGATTACAACAGTGGTTCTCAAAGGTGGGGTCGTGTCCCTGTGATGTAAAAAAAAAAAAATTAATTTGATTTTAAATCTAAATATACTGTGTAAGACAAAGAGCACTGGTCTTTGTCGTCAAATTGATTGATCAAATAGTGAGCACGGGGGGGGGGGCAGGGCGTGGGACGTCCAATCAGAGGAGAGCGAGGAGACCAACGCCTCCTGCTGAGGTTTTCTTCTTCTTCTTCAGCTTTTGTTTGAAAGGTCGCGTCAGCATTGTTTATTAAAGACACTTATTCAGTCGGAGCTGACCCTTGACCTTTGACCTGGAGTAAACTCTAAACAACGAGCAGCAGAAACAACAGTGTTACTGCAGGTGTACTGTGTACTGTAGTTTTTGGAGTATTTGCTTCTGTGTATTTATGTAAAACAGAGCAGTTCAGTTTCGTTCTGACAGGAAGTCGTGTCCCGCACAGGAAGTCCACACTGCTGACTCAGCTGTATTTTAGCCTGGAGCCCCATGTTCTAATAATTCTCTTACTTTGTCGTAATTGTCTCACAGGAAGTGAGCAGCGGCGTGCGTTTCTTCTTTCTAAGCGTGAGATTTTAGGATTAAATTTTTAAAAAAGATGGACTTCTTACCCACTGATATGTGTCTGGAGGTTCCAAAGACGGTGTAGAGCAGAACAGGGTAGAACGACGAGTACAGGCCGTAAACAGGAGGCATGGCAGCTAGCATAGCATAGGCCAGACCTGCGGGTGGCGACAGAGAGTGTCGTTAATAAAGTAAACAGAGTTACTGCACGACGACCTCGGAGCTGCAGATCTAACACAACAGAGAAAGCGGGGGGGCGGGGGCCGGGGGGGGTCAACATCAGCTCCTCAGGACTTGTCAGCCGTTTGGTCCCCCCCCACTTGTCAGCTGTTTGGTCCCCCCCCCGTGGACTTGTCCAACAGTGTGGAGCTGCAGGGTCGTCTGGACACTGACCTTGAGGCAGCTGCACCACTCCAGTGCTGAGGCCTGACACCACATCAGAAAACAAGTACTCTTTGACCGGATAGGACGGCAGCCACGTCAGGATAGGCAGGAAGCTCTGGACGGCGGCTTTGGCTCTGGACGACGAACACCTGCGGCAGGAGCAGGAGAACCTTCAGCCAGTAGAACTTTAGAACCTTTAGCTGCGTCGACTGTCGAGCGTCGACTGTCGAGCGGCGACTGTCGACTGTCTACTATTTCATCTTTTTACCTGTTGGTCACTGGCTGCACATACACAGACAGACAAGGAAACTGTTGTGTTAACAGTAAATCTGCTACAACAGGGGGCGCTATGTACGTGGTTCCTCTGGGTATCAAACCCAGGCCTCTCTGTTAGTAAGGCAGGTGTGCTAACCGCTACAGCATGGAACCGTAGTAACATGAGACGTCTGAGGGGCCATACTTCACACACACACTGTACACACACACACAGAGCTAACGTGTGTGTGTGTGTGTGTGTGTTTACTCTGGTGGGATCAGACTCTGAGACACAGACCAGGTTAAACCCCAGGACTGTGATGACGGTCCATCAAAGGTCATTCCTACCTGAAGTGTTGGCCCAGCCTCTCTCTGAGGGTGGCGCTGTTTTCTCTCCGGGTGAGAATCTGCGTCTGGAGGACGGCTTCATTATAGACTGGGCGCTCGACCCTGTACGTCAGCTGAGGGTGGGCGTCCGCCTTGGCTGCTGCAGCGTCCTGCTCCATGACGGGGACAGTGGTGTGGACGACTGTGGACGATGTTTCCAACTATCTCCTCGTCATCCTCGTCTCTTCTTCTCCTCTAATTACTGCGACCTTTCCCGTCTGCCTGTGGTGGAGAGGAAAGAAAGAAAAAAAAAAAAAACAAAGAAGAAAGGTCAGCAGTTATCGTCCCAACCAGACTTTGCCCCAGCTCATCCTCTGAACTCCAGCAGATATTCACTGATCAATTGTTTGATGTCAGAACTGTGAGTTTGTCTGTTTGCATTTCCCTACTGCCTCAGTCTGTGGCCCCAGTCTAATGTTGTATGTTGTAGGTTGTATGTTGTATGTCTGTTTGTACCGAAAACAGTCTAATGTTGTATGTCTGTTTGTACCGAAAACAAGTTCCACCTGGTTGCAGTGTGGTCATTAAAGAATCAATCATCCGATTTTTCAAATTTGTCTCTGAGAAAGAAAAAAAAAAGAAATCACTGCAAAGAAAACAGAAGTCCAGAACTGAGGGACTACAGCTACACTGGGGGGAAAACACTGTATCCTCGTGACTGTAGTATCACAATATATGATATCTTTGCCAAATATTTTTTTTATAAACCAGAATTCCCCTCAAATATCCAAATTTATCAAAATACTTTAAATCACAACACCGTGCAAATTTCCCTAAACTATATATTTTGCATTTTGAAGTGGAGATGAGGCTGGACTCGGTGTTTGTTCTGCAGAGTCAGCAGATAAGACTTCACGTCATGATGCAATAATTCAACAGTGAGCGTAAAAATATTTAATCTTTTTCTCAACCTTTATATCAACAACTGCAGCAGTGAAGTGACGTCGACCATAACCTTAAACACTGGAACTTTCTTTAAACTAGTTCGTTTTTTTGTTTGTTTCCACCTCAAACCTCTTTTAGTTCGAACACTTCTGTTTCCCAGAGAACATAATCACTGCCACAAGTGCAAGAAGAAAACGATCACCGTCGACTTCGTACGACTACTTTCTACCAGTCAATACAAAACAATACGTTGTGGAATGTTGTTGTTGCCCATAAAGATTTTTTAATTAAACTTTCCCGTTGTATTCAACAGGTGGTTACGCAGGTGAAGAAAAGAAACAGCCCCTGACAACGCCCCATGTCACTGGAATGCCTGCGCAATAAATGTTACACTAAAATAAAAGAGGACAAAGGTCGTCTGACAGTGGACATCTTCCTGTCACAGTCGTTCATCCTGCATCTCCTCAACTGCTCACGGTGTTTCAGACTGGGCTGTTCTGTCGCTGGATGACGTAACATCATACATTTACATGTGAAAACTTGTCTGGAAATAAACCACACAGACTTCAGTCAAAATGCTGTTCAAAATGTGGATCAGTGGATGTCAAACAGGAAACAGGAAGTTCATGTCTCGACTGCTAGGCAGTGAAGAAGTAGTAAATGATGTAGACGCCATATTTGTTACGTGTTTACCTTCACCTAGTGACTTTGTTTATAGTGTTCATCAAACAGAGACACTTCTTCACACGAAGCACCAGTTCATCCAGTTCCAAACAGGTCAAGTTCCCCCTCAGCCTGATGAGATCTTCATCAGACCACATCAACCTAACAATCCTCATTTACCCTCATGTATTTGTATATTTTGTACATGACTGACTCCCTGCAGGGTGACCTCTCCTGTCTGGGTGGGTGGGCTTCAAGAGACAAACCATGGACAGAATAAATCACTGTCTGCAGTCACTGACTCTGGAGGACTGAGCTGTGATTTGAACTGAACTTCAACAGTTGGTGTAGCCTGACTTGCTAACAGCAAAGCCTCACAGCGTCACTGTCCTCTTCAACTGGACGGTGTAGCTAGGAGGCGGAGCAACGTTGACTTCAGGTCAAAGTGATCGATAATCAATAATGTAGGGAGTGTTTCTCAGTGATGTACGTGTGTCTTACAGCGGTGTAACTGGTTTAACAGAAAATAAATCACGAACAACTTGACGCTGTACTTCGGTATGAATATGTGAGTCAAACAGCGTCACTGTTTACATTAAAAAAACAGAACTGATTCACGTCTGACGTCATCAGATAAATAACCGTTCAACGTTTCATACACAATTTTGTCACTTTTGGGAGCAATTCTCGGACAACTGAATTGACACGAAGGTCCAGGGTCACTAGCCTCCAGTCACGTTGTCGGCGCCGCCGTGACGTTATCGTGTAGTAACACCGTGAAGCTAACGAGGAGATGCTAACAGCTCTTACCTGTCACTGCCGTGAGGATGCTGCTGGCTCTCCGGAGGAGATTCGGACACCAGGTTATAAAGTACCGCCTACCGTTGAACATTAACTGTTCGCCCAGTAGCGGCAGCTCCGAGCCTCCGGTTCACAGACAGTGGACTCAAGCGGCAGTTTATGGCACTACAAAGATTGTCTACGGAGACAGAGGAGTCACTCTGTGAACCTCTGTCCAAGAAAGAACAAAAGACGGAGTCTACGATCCTTTCTACAAACACACAATATGCAAAACGTTCCCAAACAAGGACGCACACAAACACAAACACAAACACATGCTACTGGTTATCGTAGCACTTAAAGGATATTGACGGATTATCGAATTTATTTGTAAAGAATAAAGAACGCGAACTTTTATTGATAATAAAATTATAAAACTATATTTATTATTATTATTTATTATTGATTATAAAACAAGTTTATGTCCAATGCTGCTTTATTTCATGAAAAAAATGTTCATTGTCAGACTTTTTACTTTACGTTTTATTGCTGTAGTAGAATCCTCCTCATCCATGTATTGCTGTGGTGTAATGTTCGTGATTTGTTGTCCGTGTAAAAGAATATGCCTTGCGGCGAAGCTTTTATGACGGGGTAAACCATCGGTTTTATTTTGAAAGGAACCGGAAAGTTTGCGGCGAGTTCCGGTTCGGATGCTGCGCTGCTCTTAGATTTGCAAAGTTAAAAATGCATGTCTTTTGTTGTTTCGCAGCGTTTTTGATATTCTATATTTTTAACTTGTTGTTATCGTTCCTTCCTTTCCTGATGCACTTGAGCGCCCCCCAGTGGAGACAGGCTTCTTACTAAAAAGTTTGTTGGAAACTGACACGCTCGTCTCACCGTCACCGTCATCGATTTTTATATTGCATCGCGGCTGCGACAAAGTCTGTGCTGAAATTATTTCAAATATTTTTTAATCTAATTTACAAATGTATTCCTTTAAATCAATGTGCAATAATGTCTTTGTTGCAAAACACCAGTTGCTGCTGCTGCAACAACTTCCTTCTGAATGTGTTGAAAGAATAAAAGTTTGAATGTTCACTTTCCATGTAGTTACCATGTATGTCCACAAGAGGGCAACAATTGAATTACTGGTGGAGAAAGTGTAGTGACTCGGACATATTACTTTCTAACTCATTATTTACCATGACTTAAACTGTGTTTTTTCTTCTTTTTGGTTTTATTAAACAGTTTCTCAGGGATTGTGATCAAATCAGAACCGGAACCAGAATCTGGACCAATGATAATACACTGATCATTATAGACAAAGGTTAAACTCAAGGCTCGTGGGCCATATCTGACCCTTCATGTCACTGTATGACATGTTGTTAATTCATGTTTTATTTATTTTAATAATTTTATTATTGTTTTTTTTATTATCATATGTTTTTATCTCTTCAAATCCAGTACTTCCTGTTCAGACTGACTGTTCAGTAACGTTCGTCCCGTTTGGCCTTGAAGTATTGATTGATAACAGCGGGTGTGAATGATCAGCTGCTGTAGGTTTACTGTGTAATACTGTGAGTGTGATACTGATAACACCCAGAGGGAGGAGATAAAGAGTCCGACGCCCACAGGCTGTCATCGCTGAAGCTACGACTGAAGTTCCTGCTGCTGCTGCTGTTATTGATTTCTAATTCTTGTGTGACCCTGTTGACCCTTGACCTGAACACTCTGACTGTTGACATCAGTCAGAGAACACCGACTCCCATTCTGAGCCCAGACCTGTTGACAACAGATCAACACTGAAGTGAATCAGCAGAAAAAGGACGAGTCCTGAGATGGACAGACACTGGACAAACGCTGAAGATGGGGGGGGGGGGGGGGGGGGGGTCACGTTAGGGTTAGGGTTGAGGGGCTGTATGATAGTCTGATGGTATGACAGTCTGATGGTATGATAGTCTGATGGTATGATAATCTGATGGTATGACAGTCTGATGGTATGATGGTCTCATGGTATGATAGTCTGATGGTATGACAGTCTGATGGTATGA